TCTTCCCATGGGGAACAAAATGTGCACATTTCCAGCACACTGTCACATTAGGTGTTTTTTTCTCACTGTAACAGAGGAGTACCTTTGCAAACAAACACAGGAGTGAGAGTTTGAGGGGGTAGAGCAGCAAGGAAAAAAACTATTTAGGTCTTAATAAGAGATAATGAATGCACTGTTAGAGATAAGTCTTTGGATGCAGCAGAAATAAGTAAGAAAAAGAGTTCAAATGGTCCATAACTCAGAAATGTAATCATGTGCCTTTTCAAGCACATGAGCAATTCCATTAAACTAAGCTGCTTTAATTGCATTAAGCTTACAGAGGCTACTCATGTGCTTAAACTCAAACATATGATTAGTTATTTCCCTAAAAAAAGAAGGGATAATTCAAACAAATGCTGTATGTATGCATTTAAATGTTTCAAGGTATTAGATTCAGCATCCTATGAACTAAAACATTCAAATTAGCTTTTTGGCAGAAAATCTGTTCCCTGGATGCAAAACGTTCTCATAAAGACACATTTGAATTACTGCTCGAAATTATTTTGCTGAGAGTCAATAGCTAATCTTCTAATAAAAGGTTCAAGGACAATCAATCACAACTAAGTGAAAAGTTCCTGTTCTATATATTTGTTCGACACGCTTCAAAAACAAAACAAAAAGCATGTTCTTAAGTAAATTCAACTAATAAATAGGAGCTGATAATTCTTTGCTCAGCTCTTACCAGCAAACTGCTCTTGCTGAATTAAAGAACTAAAAAGTGGCTATTTTTACACACATACAAAAAGTACTACAACAACCAAGTACTTACTGTTGAGACTTTCACAGTATTCTATTATGCATTAACGTCTCTGATCATATACTGATTAATTATATTCATTTTGCCCTAAATTACTGGGTATTTTGCAGTTTATGTATCACAAAAACTTGCTCTTTTATGCTGCTCCTTCAGTTTATCCTATACTTTGTTTTGGGGGCACTATTATTATTTACATTAAACAAACAAATGACCACACGAGTAGGTCTGGAACTGAAACAAAATGTTCAACAAGATGCTTTTGATGCCTCCACTGTGACAAGCAACATCTGAACTTGAAGAGGTCAACCAGCCAATAATGTACTGCACTTCGTTCTGTGAGAAATGTGAATGGGGAACATGAATAATAAATTAGTTCTATGGCCAAAAAAAAGAAAATGGAATTTTGTTCACCACTTCCTTTTCTTCCTTTTTGGCTCTTAAACACGAAGTTTGACAGGTGCTGCCTTCAGAGGGGAGCACTGGCTCACCCTGATGCATATTCTGCAGTCACGTTTGAGTCAGCACTTGAGAGGACCTGTTGCCATATGGAAAATCAAGAACAATTACTCTAAATAATTACATCAGTTTATTGCTGTCTGTTGCCAAGAGAAACAAGCCTTGTTGGTAATGTCCACTTGTGTTGCCAAGTAACTTAATCTTTCAGGAAACTAAATATGCTCCAGGCCCAGCACTTCTCTAGCAATAAATACCCATTCTAACTGATATCACGATGACTCAAAGTGCATCTTTGCTCTGACGATTTCCTGAGGTAATCTCTGCTCAGTTATGGGCTGATGATGGTCTTGGAGGTGTGAGTTATCACTCCTGGCTTGAGACCTGCAGAGGTGCTTTGGGAGTACAAACCAGTCAGTCTGGGCTTCCCTCGGCCCTTGGGGAGAAATCAGAACTTTTAAGGCCAGTGAGATGAACACTAAACAGACAAGTTGAACTGTTTGGTGTCAGCAGCCTTTTCTCCACAGACAGGAGTCCCAGTGGAGGTGGTGTCAGCTGTACTGAGCTCTGGAGTTTAGGGGAGATGAAGCCAGGTGAGGTCCTGTCCCACCCAGGCTGCCAGCAGCAGTGGAAGCCAATCTTTGTCAGCATGATTAAACCTTTCCTTTGGCAGTAGAGCCTGGCAAGAGGTGAGCCTGTTCTGTAAAACCTCTAGGCTGGGACTTTCAGACTACAGCAGCTGCTCAGGTTTGAGAGCAGCAACATCTCAAGTGTGAGGCCTCTCTGTCAGGTGCTTCTGGGCAGATGTGTTGGCCTGAGTCACCAAGGAAAGGCAAGGTGGCACTGGTACCTCCCTGATGCTCCTGCCACAGGCACTTTGGGCATTCCTCAGCCAGTTTGCCAGGCCTTCCAGTTCATTATCACTCCTAAACGTCTAACCCTGCTGTTTAACTGCTGTCACTCAAACTGTTGCAGATAACAACTTACTGTTTCTCTCTGCGCTTTCCACTTAAATTTCGTTCCAGCCTGAAAAGACAGCACTGAAATCCCTCCGTTTTCCTCTCATGAGTTTATTGGATTGAGCAGTTTTCCCTTCCACAGCTCCTGGCACTGCATTTCTCATTTTCTGTCTCTGAGCCCACAAACACAGCCCTGAAGGAACCACTTCTGCCTCACGTCCCACTCGAACGCCGCGAACAACTGCGACGTGGTGACAAAGTGCTTTCCTGTCTCACCAGAGTCACGTCGTGCCATTTGGATTCAGCTCTGTGTTTGTGAGAAGGGGTTGATAAACTCCTCCTAACACACTGCAGCTCTGCCCGTGGCTCATCTCAATGAACTGCAGCACTCACAGGGATGCCCCGTAGGCCCTTTATTTAAGGCTCACATTACACAAAGTGCTTTGCAGCCTTCGGTGATTTCTCCCTAAGCCAACTGAACTTGTTGATTCAAAAACTACCTCGCAGTCCTCGCTGGCAGCGACCTGACAGAAACTACAAAGCTTATTATGTTTGTCTGATTTCTCTGTGTTCTGTCACTGTTTCGTTTTGCTGTGCTTATCCACTCTCAGGCGTTAACAACCTGCAATCAGCACCCTGCATCCTTCAGTGCTCCGAGCCACGGGGCTTTTTCACTATGAAAAACCCTTCCCTTGTCATTCTGCTGTCAGAGCAGAACCTTCTTTTGTTTTGTTCCCTTCTTTTTTGGGGGGAAATGATAACATGGGCAGAATGATTTCACATTACACACATAAACCTCTTCACCTGTATAAGGAATACTGATGACAAGAGAATGAAACTCTGTGTTACAAAGGCCTTATAATTATCTTTTTTTCCAACAGAGCAGTTACTTTCTCCGTGACATCCCCTGTACATGAAACTCTAATTCATCATGCCTCACTGCTGTGTCAATCAGAGTATAAATACTCTCCAGGATCTGATTTGAACAGATATTTACGCCCTCCTCATTTAAAACTTCTTTTGAAGACTCATTTCTGTAATGATATCCACAGAAGAAGAGCTATTCTGTATGTTCTGTTTACCTTCTATTATACTTTATTGACTTAATTGAGTTCTGTGAGGAAAGATGTTCTATCAGAGCAGATTTCCCCTTAATAATTTAACAATTTAATGTTTCCAGCTGTATTGTTCCATTGATTATCATTTTTCTCCCCTGCCATCACTTTTGTCAGGTCAAATCCTAAAAGTGTAATGTAAAAACTTCTTGACACAAAGAGAATCTCTGAGCCAGAGTGTCTGGAGAAGTCACATTTTCAGTACAGAGCTACACCATTCCAAATCTACTGCTGATAATATTGGAACTAAGGACATATACTCCTCATTGAAGGGATTACATCTTATTCCTAGACCAATCATTCATCCATGGATTTACTTATGCGCACACACATAGTTTTCTTTGAAAAAATTAATACATATTAGTCTGCAGGGTACAGTGTGTATTGAAGTTATTCCTTGTAATCCATGTAAAATATCTAAGTACATAGAGCAACCTGTGTAGCTTCTCCTCTACTTATAGAGTTGTTTCTTTGTCTTCATACCTCTAATAATGCAGAGAAATTGGCATTGACAATATAGTTATTTGCTTCCTAAGGTTCTATGTTTCCTTTGTACTTCTGAAGGTCACAGGGACTCAGCCAAACCTGAAACAGCCATTTTGATTCCCAATTTTTTTCTTTTCACTCCAATGTAATTATCTTATAGATTTTCATGTAGATTATTTACTGTTTTTCTCTTCCTGTTGGATAAGTGTACAATAACTAAACTAACTTCGATTAGGCAACTGTCACCAATATTTAAAACTTAATGACACTTTCAAAATTACATAAGTAATCCAAGCATAAAAATTATTCTTTATGATACCATTTCAGAACAGTGGCACCAAATCCCTATTGCACAATAGCCTGTGTCTCAGAAACATTAAACACAAACCATCATCACATTTTTCTTCTATGTAAGTTCTCTATTCCTTTAGTTATATACAGTGTCCTTTCTATATTTGGACCAAAGCATCTTTAGGAGATAGAAAATGGAATATTCAGCATCTTAATTCAACCTCAGTATATTAAATTATCTTCTTAGCTAGCCATATGTAATCTTATATATTTTAGAAATCAGAATTTGTCCTTGTGTATTCAGCAGTAGCTTTGTGCCTGCCTTACATTTCCCCTCCAGACTCGCTGGTGCTATTTTAAAGATGATTCACTCTCAGAGGCCACCATCCCCGGAGGCTCAAGGCACTGTGATTAAAGACCTGCTTGGATTTAAGCACACATTTAAATCCAGCATTAGTCTCTGTGCTTTGCAGTATCAAGAGAGTCTTAAAGATAAGCATATGCCTAAATATTATGCTGAACTCGGCTTAGAAACAAGGTCCATCCTCTGAAGGAGCAGAATAGTTCCAATAGCCCAGCACAGATTAATGATGGGATTTAGCTTTGAATACAGCAGGAAGAGGAAAGTCTCCATTAATAAAAGGGAAAATCATGAATCAGCAAATGCTGGAGACTGGAAAACACTTTAGCTCCTGCTGAGCCACAGGTTTCATCCTGTGCAGCATTTAGCTTTAATAAAATGTAGGTTAACTGGCTGCATTCAAGAGAAAGATAAGCTACCTTTCACATTATTTGTTTTTTTACTGAAGAGGAATGATGTCAATGTTCTGGGAGCAAGTCCATGATTTAACATTGCTTGAGTGACGTTGTTACAATATAATTTGAATGAGAAAAACTTACTTGAAGGCATTAGCATCTCCATGGACCTTATAGTTGTCTGCACTGATTCTGGAGATGACTCTTGTGACAGCAATGAGAATGCCAATATTGACCTGGAGAAGATGAAGGAACAAGACTTGGTAAGGAAAGCAAGTTCTGACCGTGTCAGAGGTGCAGGCTGCCCGAGGAGGGGATTGTAAAAATACAGCAGAAAACAGAAATTTGGTATTTATTTGCCAAAAAATGTTTTCAGTGTTGGACTGTTATAGTTTGCCCCTTGTCAGTGATTTCTTTCCCCCCACAGTGAGTAGTTCTTGCTTGTGTTCTCTTTCCTCCAGCAGTCCTTGGGAAAAGTGGGGATTGATACATTGCTTCACAGCCAAAGAAATGCTCGGGATCCCTGCTGTACAAATCAATACCTTAACAGCCTTCTGCCAGCTGACAAACCAGACAAGAATTTCACCAGCCAGGGCACGTGTCTGCATTCCCTTTGGTTTTGTGCCTGCCTGTGCACAGACTCCAGGGTGTACAACTCCCTTTTCTTACCAAAGTCTGCTCGCAATTGAAGCCCAAGACTATTTTAAAACAGCGATGAGAAAAATATGTTAAGCCTGAACTCTGGTCTTCAAAGGCCCTGCTGTCTTTGATGTCGGGTCCAGCAGAAACATCAATAAAATGAAAAGAATTCCCAACAGAAAAGTAGGAAATCTTGAAAAGACTAACACTGAAAATGTCCAACAAAAGAAAGTTTGTGCTGGAGTCGCAGGTGAAGGAAGAAGGAAATCACTTAAAGGAAATGTGGCAAAGACTGTCTTGCTGTGCAAAGACCTTGGGTTTAAAGAATAAAGAAGAGTCAAGAATGTGAAGGTGAAAGACGTATTTCCCCCTTCCTGCCCAAATTTATACATCAGCTACAAAGCATCAAGTTAAGAGCAAAACTATCCTCAACTACAGAACAAAAAGAAAGAGAAGACTTCAAAAAAAGTGCTGTTCCTTCACTAAAACTCAATAATCATTCTCTATTTGACACAAATATTCTAATTCTGAGGATGAGAGCGTGAATTATAAATGTTTAAGTTTGATGCTAATGACTTCCTTGGTATTTTTCAAATCTTCTGACCACTCTTTCAATTTTAGATTTCTAAGGGCAGATCATCACCTGCTGTAAAGTCAGAGCATAGCTGTGATAATTCCTTTCTGCCACAGTTTTTGAGTCTGTCCAAAGAATACCCTGTGGAACCGACAGCTCTTCAATAACAAGAGTACTTGTTGTTCAATCAGCTTTACAGAGAGAAATAAGAGGTGAAATTCAATGATCTTGGGACCATTTCCCCTATTCTCACCAAATCATATTTTGTAAATAACTTTTATAAGTCCTTTGAGGTGGCAATGAGTATTTTTGAGAAACCCATTTATCTGCTCTACTTGGAATCTTGCACACTCTCACTTAAACTGGACCTGAACCTTTAGATCTGGTTATGAAAACAGCACAAGACAAATTAGACAAATTAGATGGTTTTCTAACACACAAGTTCTTCAGTATTTATAACTGATTTTTAATTTTTTCATATAAAAGAAATTAAATATAAAATTCATTTCCTAGGTAATTTGGATGGTGTAAAGTGGATTTAAAAGGCCTTGAGCTTCTCCTCTGGTGTAGTCAGTGTGACTATACCTTTTCCAAGGTGCAATGGTAATATGTTTAAAAGATGAGAAGGGAATATTGTGATCTCACTGTTGATGTAGAAAAAGGTACTCAAGTCCTGAAAATCTATATTTAAATTTCCTGAACCACTTAAAAATTTTTGCTTAGGTATTTTGAGAAATTAAAGTAATCTCATCCAGCCTAAATAAACAGATTAGCTACAAATGCCTGCCTTTGTTAATGCTTCAGTAAGTAAAGCATGGAGTTATTTCCACTCCCCTTACAATGGGAAACCAAAATACAGCCACTGAGTTGTTCTTCCAGTGATTTTTTTTTTGGCATCTGACATAAATACTTTGCCAATGATTTGAACAGGAGAATGTTTAGTTGATGAAACACTCGTTATTCTTTAACCTATATTAGAATGTTCAAACTATGAGAATAAATATTTAGATGAGGCCACTGTATACAGTTCCTACCTCTTCCTTTCCTGAAAGGCCAGATAACCTGACAATGGCAGTTATTTTGCCTTAAAATTAGACTGGAACTTAGAATGGTTTTGCTTCCAGGTACTGGCCACACTCTACTTTAAAAAAAATATAACTACTAACATTAATGCTTGTTCACTAATTCACAGGACTCCTTTCAAGGCATCTTGTCCAACCCCAGGCACTCACAACTCTCTGCAGAGTCAGCAGGAGCTGCCAGTTCCCATTACTGGAGCCTTGATCCAAAGCCCACCGGAGCCCACGGAAAGGTCCCGATGACATCAGGGAGCTCTGGCTCGCTCTAGTGGCAACTTCATCTGACCAAAAACTGTCAGACCAGGGAGAGGCTTAAATGAACAAAAAGAACCTCTTTCAAAAGCTTTTCTCGTCAAAGTTTTGCCAGACCAGATGCAGTGAGACAAATTCTTTTCCCTCTCTTCGGTTGCTTTGCAGGGATTTCACCTAGATTTCCTCCAAGTCACATGAGGTTTTTGTTTCTTCTTAAATACAGGGCAGAAATCCCATGTGTAAAACCCTCTGATGTGGTGTGTTCCACGCTAGCCAAGAAAAGGCTTGGCAGTACAGAGGAACTAAAAAAAAGAAGCAACTCAACATATTGCCCTAATTAAATCCATTGACCAGCTTTCCTCTAAAACCACAAACTATTTTGGGCTCCACTTCAGTTTCGGGCAATAGCACAGGGAGTTGAAGTGACTCTTCCAATTGAGGTTTAACTTCCTCTGTGATGGTGTGAGTGAATTTGATCCTTACCATGACATCACTGGTCACACACCGACACTGCAGCCCATTGCTGGGGCACATCAGAAACCATTCCTGGGCAATCAGCATTTCCAAACACAGCCAGTCGATTGAGTTAGATGGACGTTAAAATTTGGGAGAGTGATTTTGGAAAGCCTGATGCTACTTTTAGCTATCCCAGAGCAACTGCAGATGGAATAGAGTACACTGAAGTATTTTGCAAATTAATTTGGGTTAGTGCATGTAGTATCACACCAGTTAGAGCTGAATATCAGAGCAAAGCTTTGAGGTTGGAAAGGAAATACAGAAGAAAACAGATAAAGGAGCCCAACTTCTGCACTTTCCAAATATTAATCCTTAATATTGAGTCTGTGCCCTTGTTCAAAAAAATCTTGCATGCTTTTCTGTTGGTTAAGTAAGAAGAACTTTAATTTTAACATAATGAAGGAATTTAATCTTAAAAGAATAAAAGTGTTCACAGCTGAGTGCTAATAAGAAAAAATGAGAAGCTTAGCAGGTGTGGTCTAATCCACCACAGCATTTAAGTAGGCACTTGATTTCAATGAGACTGAGGAATCCTACTGTCTCAGGGCCTTTAAACACTGTATGTTCAACTCTGCCACCTTTTCCCATGATAAGTGATGCTTAATAAGAGACACAAGTTGTCACTTTTCAATCACTGTGAGTTGGACTCACAGTCTAACCGCAGAGTGGGACACTATCCATCACAACTGGTAAATAAAGGTGGGAATAAATACCATAAGGAACTTACTAAATCTTTTATGATCAACAGGTATGGAGGAGATAATACTGTTTTATATATTGAGTATTCATGGGCAAGTACCAGCTGAAGACAATGATGGCAATCTCAGCCCAGGACCCAAGTTCCACAGGGTCCCATCTGAAGACAGTGGTCACAAAGCTGATGTCCCCACAGCACAGAACCCTTAGCAATATGCCAATGAAATTCATTTAGCTCCATAAAAATGCTGTTTACCTGAAAGACTTGTAAAAAAAACCTGCAGGAAAATGACTACTTACAGGGAAAACAACAGAAAGGACTTGTCACTACAGCCCAGTATCTCCCCCTGCAGTGGATTGTTCAGTCTGCAGCTCACCCACTGCTCCAGGAACACAGATGCTTTCCACAGAATTTCCTTAATTCTGCCATGTCTATGGAAACACACCAAGGCAGCAGATGGCTGATAACAAGCAAAGCCTTCTGCCAGAAGTTCTAACGTCTTGTATCAAAAATTCAGGTGCTTTGTCAAGTGGGGGGTTTTTTTCCACATGTCCCAGGCCAATTTTGGCTGAGCTTAGTTTGGTTTGCAAACTAATTGCAAGAATTTTTTTGTGAAGCTGCCTGAAGAGGATGATATAGAGGCTCATGTGTTGTGGTTTGGAGGGTGGGGGAGAGTGATCTTTAAAATGTAGGTAGAAGCCAAAAAACCTACACATAGAAGGAACTATTTCCTTCATCACATCCCTTGACTAAAACCCACAGAAAGAGCACGTTGGGTATGGGAATCCATATAGGGTTGGGAGGTTCTGTGAATTACTGCCTAGAAAAGTATGTGTGAGTGCTTTTTCCCAGTCACACTCCCTACACATCACTCTGTTTTAAGGCTCCATGATGTCTGTGTTGCCTGTGAGGCTGTGGCAGGACAAAAGTGAACTGTGTCTGCCCTGTCTCTAGGGAGTGGGAGTTAAAAAGAGCAGTCCCCCTGTTTTCCTCACAGCATAATCCTTTTTCTTGGCAGAGAGAAACTGTGGATGGAACCAGTCAAAACCTGCTTTTTGAGGAGTATTTTCGGAGTTAAACATCAGTTCATGCAACTGGTGGCTCATTTGTTATTTAAAGAGCACAGGCACACACGCACACAAAATACTGTTTAGCCTTGTTATTTCCCTATAGGCACTAACACATTTTTCAGCTGGAATATTCAATGCCCAGAGAGGGTAATTTGTCAGCCAGCTTGCTGCTATTTTGGGCAGACCTGGGTTTAGACTTATTTAACAAATTGCTCTACGTGAATCAACCTTGTGAGCTCACTCTTTCTCTTTCTGAAAATATTTGTACCCCTACAAGAATATAATTAGAGCTGCACAAATGTTATATATCATAAGTTAGAGCCAGACAGCTAAACTCTTACTTTCACTGGCAAGCACCTCTGCATGCAAATTGCTGAAGGCTGTGCTTGCTCAGGTGAGCTGGTGTGTTTTGGTTAACACCATCTTTGGACAGCAGCTTGGAAAGATTTGGTTGCACCTCATTTCCTCCTCTGATACTGAACAATGACCAAAAAGCAAGTGCTAATGTGGGCAGGAGACATATGAATATTAGATTATTTTAATTGCTCTCCAATCATCAATGTCTACATATCTCCGAACATAAACTCACATACAGAAGGTTCAAGGGACAGGTCAACAAGGAATTAAAGTTTGTTGGAACAGAATCCACAGCTGTTTAGCCAGCTCTAACCTAGTGATCAACATTTCTTATTTACAGGTATATACTCTCACTGAGGTAAAAGAAATTCTGCCCTTACTGTTTAGGGACTTTCAAGTGTTGCCATTAATAATTTGATTAAAATGCTAACATGAGACAGTTTCTGTCACATCAATATGGCAACCATTTGCATTGTTTTTTTAATATATGTTTATATAACCTAGTTTTTCAGAGGCTGTATGGTGGGTGGAAGGTGCTGGGCTGGGCTGCCTGGAAGAGATGCTGATTTTACTGTCTCCCAGGCAAATGTTAGGATGGCCACTCACCCACAGCACAAAATCCCCTGTGATGGTAAAGGTCAGCCAAGGAGCCATCTTCTACTTGCCAAATAGTTCCAGAGATATGCAATGGTAAACACTAGTTATATTTATTATTTATTTATTTATTTGTCCTTCCTTCCTTTGGCTTGTGAGCAGGATTTCTGGGGGGGGGGGGTTTATGTGAGATGAAATCTGGGATGTTCCTTTATTTGGTTTTTTTTTAAAGGTCCATGCCTATTAAACCTAAGCAGAGCTTTAAAGCCAACCTGATTTCACTAATCAGTGAGTCTATTCCATCTTCATACTTTCGCTCTGACGTTATAACTTCTATCAAAAATTGCAGATGACCTGATCAATAAAAGTATTAGAAACTGTGGTGAAGAGGTGCTAATCTCCCACTTAGTCCCTGCAAACATCCCTGACTCCTTAAGTAGTCACAGTGGTTAAGCTACAGCTCACTGTAGTTGGCTGTGTGAGCAAAATTAAACTGCTGCAGAGCTTTCCTGGTGCAGCATCGGAGCCCTGAACCTGCCCCCTCCCCTGGAAGGACTCTGCTCATTAGAGCTGGCAGAGGTGTTTGTGGCAGCCACCTGAACCCTGCAACCTCACCTTAACAGCCCTGCCTCGATCAGCCAGACACTCTGCCCTACCTGACACCAAAGGTCAGAGGAACAGAACAAATTCCTTAGTGCTGGAAGGAGACAGATGTGGAGGCAGCTTTTTACCATCCCCAGAGCCCACCCAAGGGGTGACAGCTCTTGTTGTTCTAACCCACTCTTGCAAACTCTGCTGTGACCATCTTCACTGGGGACACTCACAAAAGCTTCAAACACCAGTGGGATGGAATCAGGCTTTCAGCTTTTACTGGTGCATATGGAACACAAATCACAGAGTCTGTTCTTTTGGGGGTTCTTTCTGTTCTTTTGGGTTCTTTCTGAGAATTGTTGAAACTCCCAAGATTACTTGGCCCTACACAATTATTAATGACACCAGCAGGGCTACTCCAGTATTTTAGGTCCTATCTTTGCAATAGTGAAATTACCAGTGTGAGAATTAATATGCATAAACCAATACAATGCAAAAAAACTGGAGGAGGAACCAAGTAGTTCTGGAACATTCACGACTGCTCTTTCACTGGGCTGGCACAAGGATTGACCCCAGGCCTTCAGCCAGTTCTGCTGACACAGAAATGCAACAAGAAAACAGCAGCTGCTGTGGTTTTACCTACCAGAATGACACACATTGCAGGCACCACAAAAGCCCAGATTGCTCCATTCTCCAGTGAAAGCCAGCAGCTGCAGGGAGAAATCAGAACGATTTCAGATGAAGCACACAGTCATTTAATTAGTAATGTTCTTAATTTAAAAGAGCAATTCAAAAAGAGTGCAAAAAGACCGGTGAATTTTAAAAGCAAGAGACGTGATAGAGCACCAGGAAGAAGCTCCTTTCCCCCTCACACTCAGGGAACCCAAGGCAGGATCTCATTTGCATTTATGTCCTGCAAAGAGTCAGTGACAGCTCTGCCCCAGCCCACTTTCAAACAGCATCAGGTGTGGAAAATGGGAAGAAAGGAAATGTTTTATTTGCTCTTTGTTGTTCTTGTATCCTCAGTCACAGGCAGTGATTTCAGTGCTGGAGCACTGTCACTGCAGCCAGGGACAAATTGAAGCCTTCCCCGCCTTGCCTGGCTGGTGTTGGGGAAGGGGCTGCTCAACACACTCTCAGCTTCGTGGGCTCTTCTTCCAGCCCTAATGAGATAAGCCAGGGTACCACACACAGAATAACAATCTTTGCTCCAAAGCTTCTGCTTACATTATGGTAGGATTAAATCCTATCTTGGTCTTTCGGTTAAATTCTCTCTTCTTTTCCTAAATTAGAAAGGAACTTAATTTTCCAAATGTTGGACATGATCCATTCTAGATCTTGAGATGTGAAGGAAAAATCAGATTATTTTAACCACTTTCCCCCAAGTAAGTGTGTTTCTGTTCCAGAACTGCAGTTTTCTTCAGAAGATTGAATATCTTTAAGAGATTACCCTGAGCAGGGGGAGAGCAGGGAGCTCACTGAGGAGGCCTCGTGCCTCTGCAGTGAAAGATAAAACAGGCAAAACATCTCAGGAGCCTTTTGTGCATCAGCTCAGCAGTGAAAAGCAAACCTGAGGCTTCTATGTCTAAAAAACTCCCAGAATATGTCTAAGAATAAGAAAGAGTCATGCTTTTGCAAGTTATCTCCCCTGTTCCTCAGGAGGATCTTGCAGCTCCACAGCCCTGTTAACACGTCTACGAGTTTCCTCCACGTCAGATTTTCCATCCTTTTTGCACCTGGAGTGGGGACCTTTTTGTACTCACTTGCCACTTTCTCCATAGCTGTCTAGGGATGATGTTGCAGAAATGACACAAATCACCAGTGGGCAGCCTGCAGAAAGGCAAAGGCAGTGGCAATATTAGGAACAAAAGCACCATCTTCCAGTAAACCCAGCAAGTTCTGCCAGATTTTGTATGAACAGAACAGCTCAGAGTCATTTTCAAATTAAGTCTAACTTGACATCCTCCTGCAGCTGTGTAATCCAACTTGTTTTAATCAATTGATGTGAGAAAAACAAAATGGCTTTTCAATAAAGCACTAGTTTAACAGCTAAACTGAATTAGTGCAAATTTCCTTGACAATTGTAGTCCTCTTTCAGCCTGGTTTTTGTTGGTGTAATTTCTGCCTCTTGCTACTCAAGTAGTGCTACCATGTGATTGTCTGGTAATTCTTGTATGATTTAATAAAATGTGAAGGGTTGAGCTTTTATCATCTTACAGAACTTAATATCCAGGTCCCAGGCAGAGTATTAGACATGATAGCCTCAAGTTTCAATTTTTCTGTTTAATTCTTCAGGTTCTCTGCATGAGGGTTTTACAAAATTCTCTGACAAGCAGTTTCTGCTTAATTTTACTACTATCATCCTCACAAATTCTATAAAATTTTCCTGTACTGACAGACCTATAATTTTTGGAAGAAGTATTTTCAGTCTTTAATGATTGCAGCTAGAAGCACATTTATAAATATTTATATATTTATATGTCTATGTATTTATACAATGAAATACTCAGTAATTAAGAAGCATCATCTACAGGCATTGTTTAGGTCTTAGACTTTGAAATCCATCCTGTAGGATAGAGTTAAATGTCTCATGAGCTTCATTCTGCTTTCTCGTGCTTGTCCAAATCAGGAATAATATCTTAAATGTAAGACCCAATCAAAGGTAAGATTTTATTTACTGTCTCACTTGTCTATTTAAGAAAGGAAATTCCTACACACAGTTGAACAAAATCAGAAATAATTATATTCACCGGAGCAATTAAGCACAGATAATCAATATGCCATGGATATGTGAGTTGCCTGCACTAAAGGTCCCACAGGTATGTGTTCACATTCCCAAGCACATCTTTGGTTGCAGAGTAGATATTGAATATAGATATTGTCTGCTGATGCAGGTTGTCTTCCCACAGAAGGGATGAAGGGACTTTGTCACTGAAGCAAAAATACCTGTACCTGACTAATTCTTCTTTATATTTCTAGTCCATCTTTTTTTTTTTTCACCCAGTCAAATGCTGGATATTCAAAGGATTTAGCATGACTCTTTATCAATTTTAAATGCCAGTGAAGAAGAAAATTAAATAGAGTTCCTTTGGAAGATAATAAAACTTATGCAGATGAAACATAGAGCAGCCACCAGCATTAGAAGAGCTGTTAAGTCAGTGAGAATAAAATGATCTGCAGCCTGTAGTGCTCTGTTTGCCTTTTCATTGCATTAACAGGACACTAAATGGATAATGGCAATGGAGGAAGAAGCAAGGTTTTGTTACAGTAAAATAAGAGTATTTTTCCTTTAAGGAGCAACTATTCAATTAACTCCATAAAGACTGAAAAAAATATATATTTTTGTCCTAAGGGGATCATAAGATTTTATCTGGATTGAGGAATTCATGTGGATTATACATTATGCACAAAAATAAGTGTGTTTCCTTAATTTTTTTCAGCAATAATTACATAGGAGTTGTGAAGTTTAGTCTACACCCATAACACATCTCTTCCAACCCAAACCATTCTTTCTTTCTGAGGCACTACTGACAAATAAAATGGAAAATTCCTGTAAACTTGGATGCTGTATTTTGAAAGTTTCTCTGTCTTCTATATCAGGAAAAAAAAAAAAAAACTAAAATCAAACTAGCAGGCTATAGAAAATCTGTGGCAGACAATTTAAAGCAATTTTAGGACATTAATTCTAAAAGGCTAAATACATCATCTGCTGAGAAAGATGAAGCATTAGACACAAGTGAAAGTTTATTTCCTTCCAATGATGAAAAGATCTATTTTGCTTGATGGGAAAAAGTATGTTCTCCCATTTATATTGTAGAAGTTCATTTTCTATGATTTTCTTCTGCTGTGTTATGTCATATCTAGGCAGAAGTCTGGGACTGTATCAACTAACAGCAAACAAAGAAATTTATGTCTTTTGACAGCTCAGAACAAAGTCTTCAATCTGTGACAGTCTCTCAAGGAAAGGAAATGGGTTGAAATAGGAAAACATACTAAGGCCAAAGTGCCACAGCAGAACCTCCAGTATCACAAACTCTGTCATCAGCATCCCAAAAATGATGGGAGGGAAAAGCTTTGCTACAATAATCTCTGTGTGTTGTCCTGAATCATCAAGGCAAAAAAAGAAGGTTTTTTTTTTTTTTAACCCAATCGATTTCAAGGTAGTTTTAATGGTAGGATACTATCACCTTCCTCAAATTGCCTTTTTTTTTTTCTTTTTTAAATTCCTGGCAACTGCAGGCTTTGAGTTAATTCCAGCACCCTTGGGACTAAAGGCAACACGTGGGAACTTCCATCAGCTCTGCACATTTGGTGTCCTGTCTCTCTCATTACCACTGAACTCATTTTACAGCAATAGCACCTCTCAGATCCCTCAATAGATGTTGGGAGGTTGGTGGAGAATTCCTTGTCCCTCTCTCCTCACGTGGCCTCAAGTTTTGATTTGTCATCAGCAGGGATTTTGCAAACATTTAAACACATACTCAGCCCAGTGTTTCTGCTTAGATAAGAATGATGGGCCTGGGTTTTTAAATTCAGGAGGAGGGTTGTCTTTATTCCAGGAACTATAAGTTTGCAAAAGCCAAACATATTCACACTTCAGTTGAAAGCACAGAACCAATAAATGAACTGTCTCTTTTGACTAACATGAGATGAGACATCCTTGTCTTCAAATTCCTACAATCATCTTAGGTCAGTATAACAATTAGGTAAGCTAAAGTATAAAAAAATGGTGCAGTGAGACCTCCCTCCCACAGTCCTGCTCTTAATTTGGTAATTCAGGGTCTGATTTGGCCTTGAGATGTCATGGAATTCGCTGCAGTGGAATTAGGTTTAAGGACTACACATTTTAAAGTCTGATTACAGTCAGAAAAATTATGCATTTTCTTATCCAACAGACCTACTCTCAGAAGGCAAACTGTGATCTTAAGATGACAATTTCAAATACGCTTCTGAATATAATCTGGTCCTAGAGTGAGGAGACTTAAAGTAAGCAGCTACTAAATGCTTACCCCATCCAACTCCATAATAGTACAAGTGCTTGCTTTCTTCTGACCCAAATACTTTGATCACCATACTGTAGAGATGAAATCCTTCCACCAGCATCCAGGCAAAAGCACTCAGGAAGAAAAAATGAAGGAGAATGGCCAAGATCTTGCAAGGCACCTAAATTAAGAATAAAAATTAATGCATTACTTCTTTTTGATACAGTCACATTGGTTTTCCAATTTTTATTTAATTTCTATATACATTTATGTGCTAAATCACTGAAGTAAAAGTCTTTAAAAAAAAGCACTAGGCAATTTCATTTTTCTACAGCATTTTCAGACAGTTTCAAATCCTCTTACCTTTAAAAAAACAGAAAAAAACCCAAACAACATTGCCAAACACAATGTGGAAATCCAAATGAGTTATTTATTTCTAACAGCAGGAGCAATACTCCTACTAAAGTCTACAAAATATTTAAGAATTCAAAACCGAAGTGTCTACATCCAGCTCCTGAGCCTGTAGCAAGTACAGGAGTCAAAGAAGTGGAGTAACTTCTATGCCTGTGTTGGCATTTTATTCTTTTTTTGATGATTTAGGACTTTGTACACTAATGAAAATTAAAATGTTGGGACTCGATAGTACAATGAAAATTGATGCTTTCCTGTATGTTCTCACTTGTACTCAGCTGGTTCTGTGCTAGTGCAAAGACATTCTAATGCAAATCCAATGTGACTACATGTATTCAAAAGCAATAAATTTGGGGTTAATTCATGTAAGTGAGGTCTGTATGTGGTTTAGTACTTCGCAAAGTTCAGGGACATATTATTAAACCAGATTAGCTTATTGACAAAAATGGTAAAAGCCTTTCCAGTTAGTTTTATCATAAGGCTATAAAATGCATTTTAATGCCTTTTGATTTCCACCAGAAGATTAAGCCACAAAAATATAAGAGCAACATAAACCTGACTTACAAGCTAGTTCTGTCAAATGGATGCTTTCCAAGGTTTGAGGAGCCAAACAATATGAATCACAAAACAGCAGAAAAATAAAACACAGTGAAGTAGCAGGAGGCTGGTCTGCGTGTAATTCTGTATAACACTTAGTTGCAGATTTGTACATAAAATCCATAGCAAAGTTGCTACTAGTTCTGGTTTTGTGCCTTAATGATGGCTTAGAAGTTACTCTTAAATGACAAAATTGCCTTCTTGAAAAAGCATTGAAAAGCTGAGCTTTTCTGTGCTGAACCCAAGCATGTCTGCCCTGCTGTATCATAGGATGCACTCTGCTTTTAGCACAATACTTGTAAAAAGGCAGATCTCATTACTGTTACTCTTAGAGTTGACTACTTGTGAGTCTGTGGAAATAGAAAAATCAGCCCAGCCAGCAGCAAGGCCCATCATATTATAGTTGTTGAGAAGGTAAAGCAAATTCTCAGAAAGGCCTCTCAGAAATATATTAGTCACGACTCAGAGGACAGTCTTAAAACAGACAGATAATTTTATACATATATCATAAAGGAAAGCAGCTCATTTCATCTCTCCATTTGGAAGTGTTTTCAGCAATGCCTTGCAGGAGTACTGAGGGAGAAACAGCTCCATACACCGACCCAGAACTGCAAGTAGCAGACACATTAAATTTTCTGGTTTTGCTGGGAAACCACAATGCTGCTTAACACCTTATATTTCAATTTGCATTTCCCTATGTTTAAATAACACTTCAGTTTTTCCCACAAACAGTCTCAGGCCTTTGGAAGGCTTTAGGAGCCTAAAGAAATGTTGATGGTTAACTGCTTGCAAACATACGCTGTGGTTTGGGAATCTGTTGAAAGAATGGTGCTCTCCAGTCTGTAGTAGAGAGTAACTAAGACTGCAAAGCTCTCTGAAGAAACAAATTTGTCTGTTGCTGAAAGTCTAAGGGAAGTCATCAGACTGGCATGTGGATAGTAAAGATATCTTAGAAACTTGGCAGTATAGGAAGAAAATGTTTTGTGCAAAAAATATTTACTTTTTCTAGAAGAAAGACAACCTGGTTTGGGGAATAATTGCCTTCCTGGAATATGCCATGATCATTTAAGACTCCTGTTTTAGCACTACTGATGTTAGGTATCAATGGCCAGCTTTTTTATAAATCAATCAATCAATTGAGTGTATTACAAAGACCAAAGTCCTGTGTGTGAAAACAGAGGTTCGTGGTTAGAAATCAGTCTTACTCGAAAAAGGAAAATTGCTGTAGTATAAACTGTAAATTATTAAATTACACATCCGAAATTACCAGGGGAATGCTCTATGCCATATCTGGAATCAAAAACTGAATGTTCCTAGAGATGGAGACAGGAAAAGAATGGAAAGGCTCAAAGCAGTCATGCAAGGAAGTGATGCCAGCTCAGGGTCTGTTTTTCCAAGGCCATTCCCTGTTGCACTGCATTGGCTCAAGCAAGGGGGTACCACAAAGGGGTCCCACTGGTTCTCTCAAACAAAGGCACTTCCAAACTGCCTGGCACTGATACTCCATCTCTGGCAGAAGCAGAAGATTACAAATTCACACCTTCTAGTGTAAATACTGCCTCCCTTTTTCTGTAAACGACCATTTAGCAATTCAATTAAAGCTGCAATTAAAGGTATTAAAACTGCTGTCAGAGCCAGTGAGAACAGAGCATGGAGTAAGGACGTGAGGCTAATAAAAGGATGAATCACAACCCCCCTGATCCTGAGAGGCTAAAACGATAAAAATAAAAGCACAGCAGACAGTGTTTACATCACATTCTTCAACTTTAAGATCTTTAGAGTGTTATGCTGTTCAATTACTGCTGTTATAGAGCAGGTAGGGCTGAAATATCCATGGATTCTGTGAAGCATTTCACTTCACAAAGCCTGTGGTGTAAAGCAGGTCTTGCTTTCTGTGTGCTACTGTTCCAATTTAACTTGCTTAACTGAAGTAAGTTTTGAATAGGTTTAAGAGAAAATATGCACTTATTAAACTGCAACTTCAGCCTTTGTGAGCGCTTCACAAGCTTGACTAAACAAGCAAGACACCTGTGTGTGAACAAGGCACAGTATGAATGTAGGTGGACACTGGGACAGGCCTCTGGAGAACAGGAGCTCTACCCACATCCAAGCAAAACCAGGAAACACAGCCGATGTTTCACAGGATTTTAAAGACTGGAGGTGATGCTGGCCTGGATAAGGTGTAAAGAGGCTTTCACACACTAACTGAAGTGACTCAGCTGGATTGTCTGAAAGCCTGGAATGGATGAAAAATGAAAAACTGTGAGAATAAGACACACTGATACTCTGAGTGAACCCATTATTGCCCTCAAGCCCACGTCCTTTCAGCAGGGTTTTAGCTCTCTACTTAGAGAGGATTATTTTCATGCCTGGTTTCCACTTTCTTCAGTTTCAAGTTATATCTTTTGCTGTCTCCATTTCATTTCCCTTCTAAACCATTCCCTGCCATTTTCTCCCTTGCACGTTGCCTCACTCCTTCAGGACCCACCTGAATGTAAAGCAGCAAAAGAGCATGAACTTTATTTTACAAAGTGCTTTTAGATCCTCAGGTAATAATAGCCTATGCAAAACCAGGCATAATTGTTATTTATAAACTTAACAGAATTTCAAAGGATCCCATTTGAGCTGAATATAAATTTAGGTAGCTGTTGTATTGGCAAAATGAAGAATGTGCAAACCTCATCTTGACTTGCACTGAGAATAAACAGAAGAAAAAAAAGATTAATAGAAGCCACTCACTGCTTCTGAAAAGTAATAGGGAGCAACAGCTGGGCACCAAACTAGCCAAGTTTTGATCATTACAAAAACAGAGCACACTGGAAGTTTATTGTAAAATCAGGTTTTGTTTCTGCTTTTCAGGTGGGACTTTCCATCAACAGACCTTATGTTACTTTAAATTGCATTTTTTAAACACAACAGTGGAAAGAAATTGGTTTTACTGGTATGTAATACTGTTAACTTGGCCTATTTGTCTCAATCTAACCCAGCTGTTTTAGATGCCAGTTTTAATGGTTTAGATCCTGGTACTCTGCATGAGGAATTCCCACCTGCAGCAGCAGATCCATAAAATCAATCTGTAATTTCAAGTTCCAATCTATGTGATCAGGCAAAAAAACCCCCTATACATGCATAGAGCTTAAGTACCATGTGAGCAACATGGAGGTGTTGTTGCTTAAGTGGCTGCCTTAGATGGCCAGAGAAATATATATATGTTTTACAATATCTTGGATTAAAATTGGATTAAACTCTTACACAGTGATACTTAGTGCTTTCTGTCACCTCTGGCTAATTAAACAATAGTTGCTTTACCTTTGGCACTGATTATTACACAAATCCTACTTAAAAATCATCTAAATCTACAGAGTAGAGATCATCATCAATAAATCTGCTATTCAGAAAAACAGTATGTTCTGCCCCACAAACAAAACTTTTTGAGCGAAAAAACAAAGACCTTCTGTTTTGCCCTCCAAGGCAGTAGAAGATATTGCCAAAGCTCAATCTGAAAGCTTTTTAATGTGGGGTAAAGAAAAAAAGAGTCAAAAATATACCAGAGCAGAGAGCAGACAATTAAAAGAAACCAACCCCCACCAGAAAAACAAACAAACAAACAAACAAACAAACAAAAAAAAAACACAAAATCCAACCAAACCAACCCAAAACCTTAACCCAAATACAAATACCTTACCTAAACACACAAGATAAACAATATTCTCCAATAGAGAATTCCTAAAATTTTAAAGGGATGAGAGAAAGCACAAGCCATGTCAGGCAGAATCAGCCATGACATTTGAAAACACACTGAGGTGTGCTCCATTTCTACAGTGATTTTTCCATTGGATGGGTGCACATTGCTTTTGGTTTGGCAAACACCCAGACACGGCCAGATACCACGATAACACCGTTTGGGTGCACAAAATGCTTTATCCAGGAAGGCATTTTTTGGCTAAGGCACGTCAAAAATAGGAGATCTCACGTGGAAGATGCTTTCTTGCACGTGGCATTCATTCCAAACCAAATTATTTTTCTTCTTAGGACTTACAGTGCCAGGGGTGAACTGGAAGCTGGTGAGGAGCAGGATCTGGGCCACCAGGACAGCAAAGGACAGGTTGGCGTGGATGTGGTAGCGCTGGTTGCGGATGGTGCTGACAGACCTGGCAGAAGGCAGAAACACTTGTGAATAAAACAGCATTGCCAGGAGCATTCCGAGAATATATTTGTGATTTATCAGCAAGCATTTAGATTGACTTCTGCTTATTGGTTTTGGTGGGGTTATCACGATGTCTTCTGAGCTCTCCTTCCTCCAGGATGGAGTGGTACCTGAGTGGTTGCTTTGATATTCTGCTGCTGTCCTGAAGGCAGCAGAAAGATTGATTTGCACATGAAAAAGCTCTGTTCGGGACTAGTGGCAGAATATCTTGAATGGTGCTGTGATACAGAGGAGGTCAGACCTGCACCTCACAGAAAGCACACTGCACCTTACACCAGTCAGCCCACACTGTGCCACAGAACTCCTGGATTTATTTTGCTGGTATTTGCCTGTGTGAGAAATAAGGGAATGTGAAAAGACCTTTATTATAATTTTGACTTATACCATTATCAGCTTCTGGGCACAGGAACTATAGTTCCATATGCAGATGGGCAGTGCCTATCTTGACAGAGACCTGACAGTGATTACAACATCATTTGAACACATCTCTTTTGGCTTTGCAAAAAACAGCTGGAACTCGGACAAGAACATGCTTTCCTGGAAGTCTTCTGACCTCGTGTTTCTGTTCTCATCCAGAAATAGGAAACAGAAAACAAAAACACTGATCTGAACATCTCAGGCCTTTCCCACAATTCCATTCTTCACTTTAAAAAGCAGTTCTGGTGAGAACAGGTTCCCCATTCCCATCCATGCTGCCTGCCAGCCCCCACCAGCAGTTTTAATCATCTCAGGACACCCAGGCCGTTGGTGATGGGAACTGTTGTGTGTCTCCTCCACTCAACTCCACCCACTCCCATCCTTTTGCTGTGTCACACTGGATGAGGGTGACTCCTGCAGCCACTGTGTGTGTCCCTGCAGCACAGTGACGTGGACTGGACGATGCAAACCATGGTTGTGTCAGCCCTGCCCTTCCAGCACTGCCGTAGCCAGCGCTCCGCTGGAAGAGAACGAAGAGGGAAACGACGAGAAGTATCTGTGTCCTAAAAGGAATCCAAAGAGTCAGGATGTGTTGCCTGGTGCCAATGGCTATCTAATAAAGAGCTTCTGGTGGTGGCAGGCTGGGGCAGCGTTCCCCAGGAGGCGAGCAGGACTGCCTGCCCTCCCGGGAGCCGCCCGGCGCTGCCGGGACGCGGAGCAGCGAAGAACGTGCCAGATTCTTCTCCGCTTACGTTATGGTCATCTAACACCACATTGCAAAATTTCACTTCAGCTGTTTAACGAGACCCTGCTCTCCAGTGAAAACCTAATCAAATTATTTCTGATTGGCAGTTTGAAGGATCCTGTGTGTAGGTGGGGTGCTTTAACCCCGGGACAGTCAGCAGGCCCCAAGCTCTCTTCCAAAAGTCTTCTCTTTGCCTCCAGTTTCTTGAGGAGTTTTCAGCCCTGCTGCAGCCACACCACCTCCCTTTACTCCTTTTTCCTTTCTAAACACTATAACATCCAATTTTGCACTCAGACAAAAGTGGAGCAGATCATTCCCCTCAGCCTAAACATGCCAACAGCGCAGTGCCAGATAGGCAGACGTTGGAGTTATTTAGAGTGGATTCTGCCACACGTTACACATTTAATCCAAGTATGACCAACACAGATCTTGAGACTTGGAAATAATACGGGGTTTGGAACAAAGGAACACTGCAATCAGTTTACTGTTTTTACAGCAAGTCCTTTTCCCTAGAAACTGGCCTCTTAATGGGATGTCCAAAATATATTCTTAGGCACAGAAATCAAAAGTTGAACTCCTGAGTAGGAAGAATATGGCTTAGTGTGTGAAAGGAGACAAAGAATCCCATTCCTTGCTGCTCAACCACTCTGCTGCACAAAGGGTGAAGACAAGTTGCTTCACCCTTTGCCATGTTTTCTGGTTTTTATTTAGAAACAAACCTCTATGAAATCTTCTTTCTTGGAAATGTTTGTATCAAGGCCAGCTGGGCCTCAAACTCAGTTATCACTGTTGGAAAATAAAACAGGCATAAAGACCCTGAGTGCCCTGTAGCAGAAACATTCCGGTGCAAAGAGCCCTCCAAGGGGCTGCCCTGTTCCAGGCAGGAGGCTGCAGAGATCCAGAGGTTTTAAACACGAGCTGTGGAGTGAATATCACACTGCTTACAGTGTCCTTCATCCTCCTAAAACAACACATTAGATAACCAGCCTAATGGAGAACAGCAACTCGAAAATAAATGTGGCTCGTATGATGTAATTGTGTACATGTTGCATGAAACAAAAGGCAGGCAGCTCTAATGTGGACTGAGACTTCCTTTCTGGGCATTCCTTTATAAACACACCGCCTTGCAGCCCAAGAGCAGACAGAAGGGCTGACTACACTCCAAGCAACCCAAAGATGAGGGTAAGGGGGGCAGAGGGGGTGATCCTGCAGTCCTTGCTCATATTGTACTTGCTTTGAGCTCCCAAGCAACTCTCCATGTTTTTCTACAGTTCAGGAGTCTTGCAAGGAGGCTACTGCCTCCTTGCAAGACTCCTGAACTGTAGAAAAACATGGAAAGTTTAAAAAAAAAAAAAAATCTAAAAATCCCTCACGGGATGGAAATAGCTTGCTGTATAAAGACCACCCCATTTCAGGAAATGAAAGTAATTTAGAAATAACCAACCAACTGTTACAAATACATGTGCAGAATCCAATTAAGGGAGGTTGTAGAATTAATAGCCTTTGTTTTATCCTGAGCACCTGAAGGGATCCTACTCGGTGGCCTGAAATGCGCTGCTTCCCTTCCTGCAGTGATAGCTGCTCAGCAGGTTATTAATTTAAAATTACTCACGACAATATAGCAAATGTGACCAGCGTGATCGTCAGGCAGAAGATGGACAGAGCACAGCCAATGTAAGTGATGGAGGAGAGGGCCACCTGGTGTTCTCTTGCTAGCTGCACACAAAGGAAAGAAAAAAAAAACAAAAACGAAATAACAACTATTAATTGATTTATCACACTGCAGAACCACGGGTCAGCGTTTCCTCCTCCAGCCATTCGTGAGGAAGCTGTTCACAGTCATTCCCTGCTGTTACTAGAGGGGGAAATGAGGAGCCAGCTCCAAACTCAGTCACACAGCCAGGGGATCCACATGCCCGTGGCATTTAGCTCCCTCTTTTATTTCCTCAGCCAGGCTTTCCTCAGCACAAGCTGGAGTTTCTCTGCTGCTGCAGCATCATCCAGCCTGAGAACAGAGCAGTTTATTGGGCTCACAGGCAGTGTCAGTGATGGGATCTGTCACAGGTAATGCTCTCACACTGCAATAATTTACATCACTGTGCAAATACCAGAAGTGCTTCACAGCAGTGAGAACTGACAAACCCAGATAAGCCATAAATCACAGGCCATTTATAGCCCGCTCGTTTTGTTTAATTGTGTCACGTTTTCAGTGGCTGTTGAAGAGCTGGACTGACATCTACAGAATGGAAAACCCCAGCAAAGACCCAGCATGAGCAGTAGGAGTGCAAACCTCTCCTCTCAGCCTCTGTTTTTATCTACAGGCAGCTTTTGTAGAAGTAATTCAATTTTCATGAACATTTGAACTGTAACTCCACAGTGCTCTCCACTAGGATCTGTGTTAAACCTGGATAGAGTCAATGCTGGAGGGACACCATGGTTTGGCCATTCATCTTAAACTAATCAGAGAGTGTGTTTTAATTTTCCATGCAAGTTCTCATAAAAGAATGACAAAAAAAGCCCCACCCAACAAAGGGAGCCAGGAAGTATTAATATATAATAAGTAGAACGGACTGAGGCAGGAAAAGGTTTTCTCATCTCAGAAGAATTTTCAAACATTTTTCCTGACTTGAATTTGGATAGAGTTGACATTTTCATAAACTGAACATAAATGAGGGGGGGGAGGAATATGTAGTCAATCAAAAAGTTTTAATTTTGATGCTTGAAATACTATGTTTTAATTTGAATCTCTCTTCACCATAAATTAAATTCCTAGTTGAAAACTCATTCAAAATATTTACTTATTAGAAAAAATACTGAAAGGAACAATATCTTTTCCAACTTTTTTACAGAAACTTTTAACTAATGAAAACTAATCCTTCCTCACATGTTTGGGATTTTCTATTGTTTTCCACATGCACAATAAAAATTTCCCTCCCAAACAAAGTATTTCATTAGAGATTATCAAACCCAAGCAGCCCCACCAATAAACTTCCCATTAAAATTCCTCTTTAAAGGAGAGAAATAACATGCCATGTGGTTATGAGGAAACAGAAACACAGACAAAAAGATGTGTTACATATGTACATTTTTCCTGCAATTATCTGCCAACAGAACCACCCCATGTACAGTAAGTTTTACAGCAAATAACTTGTGGCTCACTCAGCAATCTGAGAACTATTAAGGGATGCAGCAGCAGCATTGGAAGACAACTGTTGCTATGGTGTTACAGTTCCTAGGAAATATGATGCAGCTCTTGAGTGTTTTTTTCTCTTCCAGCCAAAGGCACATTTCTTTTCCCTGACTCGGGCAGCATCAATTAAAGAAACAAAAGAGTTCTGTGTGCTGGACCAGCTTAAAAGTTCCATATAATTCCTACAGAAGAGATCCTATCATCCCTCATTCCTCAGAGAAGCCATGTATAGCCTTTCTTCAGAGAATATTCCTGAAATAGGAGTAATCTTTGTGGTAAATTGAGCAGTTTAGAAGTGATTTCCTCATCAGGGATATTCATGTCCAGAATGGATGGACCTTATTTCCTGATATCTCTGATACACATCCTTTTCTCTGGCTACAGGTGGTTTGCAATTCTACAGAAGGAGGAGGGGAGCAGAGGAAGCTTTCACAGCTTCAAATCACTCTGAAATCAGTGCTTCTCAGCAGTTCAAAGCTTTCCTTCACTCCTTTCACTCCCAAACTCCTGCAGCCAGAAAATGTTCCCTGGGGAGGTCAGAGCTGCTCAGTTCTCATTCAGGTTTGCAGGGATCTCTCACAGTGTTTGCACTGGCAGAGGATCTGCAAAGGGAAAATCATATACAAATACAGAAGATACAGAGGAGCAAACTAGTGGAAACTGGCAAAAATCATGGAATCCCAGAATGGTCTGGTTGGAAGGGACCTTAAAGCTCATCCAGTCCCATCCCCTGCCATGGGCAGGGACACCTTCCACTAGCCCAGGTTGCTCCAAGCCCCGTCCAACCTGGCCTTGGACACTTCCAGGGATGGGGCAGCCACAGCTTCTCTGGGCAACCTGTGCCAGGGGCTCACCACCCTCACAGGGAAGAATTTCTTCCTAATATCTAATCCAGATCTACTCTCAGTGTGAAGCCATTCCCCCTTGTCCTGTCACTCCAGGCCCTTTTAAATGGTCTTTCTCCATCTTTCTTGTAGCCCCTTCAGGTACTGGAAGGCCTCAGTTAGGTCATCCTGGAGCCTTCTCTAGGCTGAGCAATCCCAGTTCTCTTAGCCTTTCCTCAGAGGAGAGGGGCTTAATCCCTCTAAAAATCCAAGTCTTTGTTTTTTTCCACAGTAATCCAAGAGAAGATGGTGATCACACAAACACCTTTTTCTCACTAATTTCTATCAAAACTAACATGCCTCTAAGACAACTTTTCTCTGGGTTTTAGTTCAGTCTTCCTCCAGAAACCCCTGCAGGGCAAGACATGATGAGAATCAAGTTCTCCCAAATGGAGCCTGTATTACTCAGAAACAAAAAAAAAAAAAAAAAAAGGGGGGGGGGGAATCTCTTAACAATAAAATGTAGAAGATTCTCTGAAACATAAAATAACCTGCACAGGGCCCTGCATCTGCAACTGGAAATTGCAGATGGTATTCTGGTAAACACAACTAGAATCTGATGATGCTTTAAGGATGATGCTCTTAATACCAACATCAGTCTGGTGGGAGGTACTTCAAAAGCAACAATGCTGCAGTTCACCCCCTCATCTTGCCCAGTGTGAGGGACAGAAAGCCTGTAGTTAGCTTGCAACCTTTTTTTTATCATTATTAAGGAACCAGTGATAGGTGTTCTCAAACTGAGCTCTCGGGCTGGAGGGGTCCAAGAGGGGGTCCCTGTTCACAGCAGCCAGTGAAACCAGCTCCTTTCTGTGGATAATGTGAGTTCCAGGGGGAAGGATACAGCAGGAAAAGAAGGCCTGGGATTATTTGCAGGGTGTGCAGCCTTGTTTCAGGGATATGTACAAGAGAGAAGAGAACCTGTGTTTAAGATATCAGATCCCTACTAACTCCCCACAGCCCAGCTGTCACAGCACACGTGTGGAGTGCTCCCACTGCAAGGGATAACAAGCAGCAGTCTGTTACAAGTACCTGGGTAGTCAAAGTGTTGTGAATCATCAGTTAAGAAACAATTTCCTACAAATTCCAATGCTCTGATATGGGCTGATTTCATCTTACCTCAGCTTGTCTTTTTGAAAGTTTTCAGCCTTCCTGCGTGATGTGGAATAGAAAACAGTAATTTGGCATGATCTTGCAGTCAGCACAAAAATGCTAATCAGGCTGTAATGTTATTATTAAAGAAAATAGTGCTAAAAAGTTCCAAATAAAACATTGAGCAATCTGTGAAGTAGTCCCACGAGCCTGACTCTCACACTTGTCCCAATCCACATTAAATTATTCTTTTCTTCTAACAGGTTTTGCTTCTTTTGGGTTTATACGGTCATTCTCTTACTCTGCAGCAAGCTGAAAAGCCAGGAAACGAGCTCATACAGCCCCGAGTGTTAGTAATCACAAACACTAAAAGACAGATGTTTCTTAGTTCCAGCTTCAACAAAGTCAAAGCAAAAACTCCTGCCTCACATAACACTCCCACCCTTTTGGTTGAGGTTGTAACACCCTTTACCTTGCAAGTGTTGCTAACAGCGCGGGCAAAGAGCTGGTGCTTTCAGCAGACCCACCCATCTGTGGTATTAGTCTATTGTCTCAGCCTTGTTCTCCCTTGTAGAAGTCAGTGCATTGCTCAACACTTTTATTTTGGAAACTCTCAGGCAACTGGATGGCCTGAGAAACAATCCTGGAAAGACACCAGCTCAGAGTCCAAATGTATATTTTTCATTTCTGATGCTGTTCGTGGTGACATCTAACGCCTCTGTTTAAACAGAGCTGCACGGGGAGATGAAAATATATTATTATAATGGGATGGTACTTTTCATCTCTGGGAAAGGTCAGTTCAGGCTGAAAGGTTATTCAATAGGCTCTATATCTAGATCAGAAAATCTAATTGTTTATCTCAGGTTACTGAGTGACTGTATAAACAACCCAGCACACCAACCCACCACAAAGGTAGATGGGCTACAGGAACACAACTCAGCTCAGAGCATCTGCCTGGGCCACACAGGGCCCTCTGCTCAGTGTGCCCTTGCTTGGTGTGACATTTGCACCCCTGTCCCTTTTGCTCATTCTTCACCTCTCAGTCACTTGACCACAACTCTTCTGCTTTGCAAAGGGTGTACTTTGGGCTTTCTCCAAAGAAAGAGACGTTTTGGGGAAGTGTTAACCTAAAATTTTCTTTTTCACATACTGCAAAACATCCCTCTATGTCCACCTTTAAAAGCAACACATCAGACAAAGGGCTGAGTTCAAACACTTAAACCAAGGTTTGTCACAGCTGATCCTGAAAGGGTTTTTCCCTATACCAATTACAGCTTGGTCATTTAGGCACTAAAAGCAGTAATTTCACTGTCTAAACTACTTTAGAAATCTCATTTTTGAAAAGCAATTCATCTTCTTCTAGAAAAAGACGAGTTCTTGAACCAAAAAATGTTTTACAGACTTAAAAAAAAAAAAAAAAAGTCCTGCAAGCTAAGGATTATATCATCCCTCCCATTTGTATCTTAGTGTTACTTACTTTGAGAACCCAGAATATATCTTTGCATATGCTTATACAGTGCATACATTTTATAAAACCAAAGTTATTTGTTCCC